TGTGGTGCTGGGGGATTGAACCGCGGTCCCTGATGCTTTGCCAAGCTTGTTCTAAGTAGGTGCCTTAGACCACTGAGCCATCTCTCCAGCCCCATGCTTTTCCTGATATTTAAAACATGTCAAAGTTTGTTTTGATCATGATTTTCATATATGCAGGGTTTTGTCTGCCTTGTTTTGATAATTTAAAAATGGTGTTAAGAAGTTTTTTAAAATGCCTTTAATGACCACAGCAGCAGCTTCTCCTAATGAGGACCTGAAGCACACAGTGTGCGGGGCGCGCCTGCTCCCTTCCACTCCCTCAGGGCTGTGCTTTTCCTGGAGCGTGTCCTCTCAGGTCTTTCCAGCAGGTGCTCCTGGGAGAGGAGCGGTCCCCCAGGCCGGCAGGGGCGATGTGGCCAGGAGCTCTGAGCTGCTGCTGTGAGGCCTCATTTCCATCTATGCTTGGGCGCTTCTTGCCCAAGAACAGAAGTGACATGGGAAAAGGGGTACAGGTGGCACCTGGGGGAGGCCAGGTGACGGTGTATACCATATGGGGGGGGAGGCCAAGGGGGCCGCCTCGTGGGCTCTGGGAGGCCCCAGAGTTTGAATGCCGCCGTGGCCCTGGGTCAGAGTTGGGGGTCTCCCTGCGGAGGGGACCTATGCAACCGTGATAAGGAGAAGGGCAGTGTCCATGGGGGGGCGGGGAAGATGAGGCCCCGGGGCTCGGCTACTGTGGCCTCAACCTCCAACCTGCACCTGGAGGGGAGGTCGGAGCAGCTGGCGCGGGGCCTCTCTGAGCAGGGCTGGTCCTGGAGGCCGCTGATGGGCGGGCTGGTCCTGGAGGCCGCTGATGCGCCCGCTGTTTTCCCAGCTCCCTGGTCAGCTTGATGGAGACATTCAATGAGAAGGCCGAGCAGCTGGTGGAGATTCTGGAGGCCAAGGCGGATGGGCAGACCCCGGTGTCCATGCAGGACATGCTGACCTGCGCCACCATCGACATCCTGGCCAAGGTGACCCGGGGTGAGGTCCGTCCGGGAGGGGCAGTGTGCCAGCGGTCCTTGCGTTCCCCCCTGCTCTCCTCGCCCACCTCCACACCCCTCTCCCCTCCACTGTGAGCCCATATTTTCTTCTTTTGCTTCCTTGACTGTTCAGCGCACCCTCCCACGTGTCTGGGCGGCTGCTGATCCTCAGGACAGCGACACCCAGAGGTGCAGGGCCGGCCGGCCGCGGCTCTGTGGCAGAGGTCGCTGTAAGGATGGGAGGACAGCTCACTGTGGCCCAGGCCTCAGTCCCCTCTGCCTGGCCCCACCTGGCCCCTGTGTGAAGCATCCTCTTCTCCCCCCAGGCAGCCTTCGGCATGGAGACCAGCATGCTTTTGGGAGCCCAGAAGCCCCTGTCCCAGGCAGTGAAGGTGATGCTGGAGGGGATCAGCGCCTCCCGCAACTCACTGGCGAAGGTATCCCCACCCTCCCGCACCTGCCTCCACTGCTGCCGTGGGGCCTGCGTGCATCGCGGCACATCCTGCAGCAATTCTCTCCGAATGGGTTTTGAATTCAGGTACCAGGATTTGTGGGCACTGCCTAAAGGCAGTCACAAAACCAAAGTGGCTCACTGTAAGTTAGGAGTTAATCTCTCCCTCACAATAAATGAGCCCCAAAGCAGGCACTCTAGCGTGGCTGTGGTGGCTCCCTCCCATGAGATGTTCCCCAATCCTATCTTTGTGTTCCCATCTTCAGCCATCACCTCATTGTCATAAAATGACTGCTGTAGCTCCAGCTCTCACTTCCTTATTCCAGACACGAAGAAGGAAGACAGGGTAAAGGTGATTCCTGGGTTGACTCCTAGGTTCCCGTCCTGTGCCTGGGGACTTCACGTTCTGACCTTGCACCCCAGCTCTGCCCCATCTTTCCAGCTGCAAGATTTTCTCCTTGCGGTGCCACCCTAGCTGTCTCTCTCTGCGGGGGCCCTGTCACTTCTCAGTGCTGCCTTTGGGTCTCTGCGTCCTGCTCACGACCTGGTGCTGGGCTGGTCCCGTCAGCTCTTCTAGAACTCCCTGGCTTTCCTGCGCGGCGGGTGGCCGCCGGAGGGGAGGGCAGTGCCGGCCCTCAGTCGAGGTTCTCCCCAGTTCACGCCGGGCTGGAGGAAGCGGCTGCGCGAAGTCCGGGCGAGCATCCATCTTCTGCGCCAGCTGGGCGAGGACTGGGTGCAGCAGCGCCGTGAGGCCCTGCAGCGAGGCGAGAGCGTGCCGGCCGACGTCCTCACGCAGATGCTCAAAGGTGCGCCTGGGCCGGGCTAGCCGGGGGGCGGGGCGAGCCGGGAGGGCGGGGCGAGCCGGAAGGGAGGGCGGGGTGAGCCGGGAGGGCGGGGCGAGCAGGAAGGGAGGGCGGGGCGAGCCGGGAGGGCGGGGCGAGCCGGAAGGGAGGGCGGGGCGAGCCGGGAGGGCGGGGCGAGCAGGAAGGGAGGGCGGGGCTGCTCTCTGCTTCAGTGGTCAGGTGTCTGTGCTGTGCTGTGCCGTCCTGTCTTGTGTTGTGTTGCGCTGTGCTGTGCTGCGCTACACTGTCCTGCGCTGCGCTGTCCTGTGCTGTCCTGCGCTGTGCTGTGCTGTCCTGCGCTGTCCTGTGCTGTCCCGTCCTGTGCTGTCCCGTGTTGCGCTGTCCTGTGCCGTCCTTTGCTGTCCTTTGCTGTCCTGTGCTGTCCCGTCCTGTGCTGTCCTGTGCTGCGCTGTCCTGCGCTGTCCTTTGCAGTCCTGCCCTGTGCTGTGCTGTCCTGCGCTGTCCTGTGCTGTCCCGTCCTGTGCTGTCCTGTGCTGCGCTGTCCTGCGCTGTCCTTTGCAGTCCTGCCCTGTGCTGTGCTGTCCTGCACTGTGCTGTCCTGTCCTGTGCTGTCCTGTGCTGTCCCATCCTGT